CAAGATTCGAAAAATATATATATGATTTCCATCGAGAAATTATTTTTCCGCTGGAAGAAATCGGTTACAATACGTGAAAACATAAGTTTCATTCATGCTATTAGATGCAACTGGTTTCACAAGACAACAAAAATACAGTCTAATATATTCGATGTTGGAATAAGTATCCAGTTCATCTTCTCTCAATAATAAATAACAACGACAACGCTATGAACCGTTAATAAGGCACTCTGAACTGAATTTTCTAGTGCTCCCCTCTGTCAGATAACTCCTCACTCAGAATTGAAATCTACCTTCTCATTACTCCCCTTTCCGTTGGACGTGTATCCTGTAGTCTGGATTATCGAACCTCAATCACGACTGAAACCGAATACTGCAGAGGACAATTTGACCTCGTTATCCTGCGGAACACTTTCGTGATGAACTGGACTGACTCATTTTTACTGCAGCAATTCGATACCGGCAGCAATTAGATTCGACAATCGGAACTAAGTCGCATTGAAAAGCACTTAAAGCCAGCATTTTGTGTATCGATAGTCCAGAGATATTAGACTCTTTGGAATACGGGATATTTTTTCTAGAGGGATATACTTGAATGAATTATTTCAGTTGATAATTTATTTATTTATTTATTTGCAGCTTTGGCAACTCAACATAACAAAAGTTCCAATTATAGAATCACACAGAATTAGAAGATTCATCATTACATTCAAAGAGTTGAGCTAGATCAAACTAAAGATAATTATTTACAAATAGAAATAAAAATACAGTTACCCTACCTAGTGCATAGTATGTTTCTACAAGAAAATCTCACTTTTGAAATGGGTAAGTAAAATTGGTCAACAGAGAAAAAAGTGGAATTGTATATTTGTTGCGTTTGTTGGAGCGTTTAAGAAATAATTACTACTTGCTGGAGACAACTTGAATAAATCACTATTGCACATGGAATGAATATTTACTTTGTATAATATCTTTGCCAAACAATATTCTGAATCGACTTTATTGTTCAACAATTTACTAAGAAAATGACGTAGGCAGTTTCCGTCTGGTTTATAGTTCGTCAATTTTATATATTTTTAGGCTAGAAGTATATGGAGGAAAACTTTGATTTAATCTGAATTTGAAGTTTAGGAAGCGTATGAACCTCTTTTAAACCTGTTCTATTCTATTTATATATTTTTGAGTATGCACTATTGTTGTATACTCAAGATGGCTTCGAACAAAGGAGTTATATAAGAGTATACAAATTTCTGGTTTTTAAAAATCTTTACAGTTTCTGACTGAGAAGCCAAGATTTCTCAGTGCTTTTTTAACTACATAATCAATATGGTTTTCGAATGACAAATTTTGATCAAGAATAATGCCTAGATCCCTTATTTGTTGAACTTTTTTCAGAGGTGAACCGTCTATCTCGTAAATGTAATCAAGATTCTGCTTTTTTCGAGAAAATGTTATAGAAGAGCATTTATTAGGATTGAGATGTAACTTATCATTACTGATACATTATCATTACTGATACATTATCGTTACTGATACATTATCATTACTGATAGAAAAATTATGAATTTCATAATTATATATGACGTTCCTGTCCTCTTCTGCATCCCACTATGACCATTATCCGTTAGGCTCACAAAACCCCAGGTGACAAATTGGTGACCTCATACTTTCGGTATGAGGTCAAATAAATGACCCTGAAGTGTAAGTCTTTGGAGAATATAATTTCCATCAATTTCTAAGGGTGGTGTAGTATACAGGGTCTTTCACGATGAGCGTTCGTTAGGAATATATGGAGAACGATTCAAAATAAAAACTTTAAATTTTGTGGTAGTGGGTTTTACAAAATGGCCTCCTCAACTAAAATATTTTCAACTACTGGTCTCTTTCCGTTATACCGGAAGTTGAGGGCAACTTCCTTATTTGAAATGGAACACCTTGTGTTTTATTGCATTTTTGAATTTCTCAGCACATTTCAGATCCACTTTGTATGACAATGCCTATACCCAAATTTGTTAGTTTTCAAGATATTAATTTTTTTCTGAAAAATTTGACAGTTACAGCACCACTTCGAAAAAATCATAACTCATAGACAGTAACAGTTGAAAATGTGAAATTTCACAAAATCACACCTTGAGCATCAAGTCATGAACAAGTCAATCGAATTTTCGAAAATAATTTACAGTTGCATATTCCTAATTGAAATCTTGTTATTTGTTTTGGCTCAACAATGCTGGAATGGTATTATACCGCTTGATATCGCTTTTTGTTATCATTCTGCAATTAAAGTTTTGTTGACAATCGGAATCTGCCAAAAGTTTTCCAATTTACTTTATTTACTGTCTCGCTTTGTACGAAATTAGCAACTTATCGCAATTAGCATTCTACCGATGAAGAACTGAATGTTCGAAGTTGCGAACTTGAGTCGTTAAGATTTTTCCGACACAAAAAGGGTTTCAGTTGACGTTAGCTCTGGGGACTGTAGTTGTTTCAGTTATTTATCTTGAGTACTGTGCAGAAATTCTTTCACAAAAAGCGGAAAATGAGAGTTCGAGATATTAAAAGCTTTTTGTTTTGCGTCGAGAAAGCTAGAATAGACAAGTTAGGGGTTATTCTGATATTCATATTACGGCAGAAAAGAAGTATGAAGATTCAAATTAGTTGACTAAGTAGTTTTTCATTTAAAAGAATTCCAAGAGATTTCAAAAAGTTTAGTTAGATCTCGACGCGATGGGTAGTTGTATTTTGCCGAGTACTTTTCACATGTAATGCTCTGGGTGGAATCAAGTGGGTTGGATCGAAAATATTTGTATGAAAGGGAAAAGTCTCCCTTTCTTTCGACGTACCAGGCTATCAATAGTGATTGTGATGTTTACGACTTCATTCAAGCGAATGGCTAATTTTTGAACAGAATCTAGTAGAGTCAGGTTCAGTGGCAAAGCTCAATGTCGAGTCAAGTCGAGTCAAATATGCTTTATTGTCCGAAGTATGATAATGATAATAAAAATAATAATATTTATTCAGTTGGATCATCTATAGATGACATTGAGTATGTCAAAACGTGTACAAATACAAAATTAAAAATACAAACTCCGTACACTTAGAGGCATAATATACAATTTACATGTTATATAATATATCATAGTCAAAACCTAAAATAATCTGCTATTTATGCAAC